CTCATGAGCAGGAAGTCTGATCTCCTGTTTGTGGATTCGGAGTTAGTTTTGAGAGCAAACGCCGTATACATACATAGTACATTTAGCTTCTCGATGACGAACTTAAAGCAAGAAGCTGGCTTGCTGGTGCGCGGTCCTTCAGATGACCATTATACCTATATTTTTTCCTTCTCGTGCTTTCTGCACCTGCCCGCCCCCCCCGCCGCAACTACAAGATAAAAGTGAAAAACAAATAAAAACAAAAATTTCAAGCGTGCCCTGGAGATGTGAACAAACTTTCGCCCAGACTGGGAATTCAACGAGACACGCAACCCCTCGTTATCCGGAACAAGTGTGCGCCTACGCAGTTGGCGTAGTGTAACTGGTAGCGCACTTGTCCCGGAAAACGAGGGGTGCGGGTTCGAATCCCGTCTGGGGCGAAAGTTTTGTTCACAACCCAGCATTCTTGTGGAAACATTCGCAAGGCGAACTGCGGCCAAAAACAGCAGTTACCAAACCAAAACAAGTCAAAATAAAGAGATAATTCGAGGACGAAGAACCAAAAATCCATAACTGAATTTTTTCAACCGGAGCATTTGTCGAATATCTCGACTTTGGTCACCTTGTCAAAATGCGCTTTTCTTTCCCTTCGAAGTACTCTTTGACAGAGTTGTTTCGAATCTCAGCAAACCTCCACTCATAATTCAGAGTTGGTAATCTATCCTCTTGCCTTCAAAAAAGAATGATGTCCATCAATGGTCATCCAAAAAAGTTGAAAAGAAAACTCCAAAGGTAAGACTGATTGTGGCGGTAGCACCACCTGCTGGGAACAAGAACTTCCAGAGTGGTTGTTAGTAGGTAAGGAATCTGCTCAGCATCTGCCGATTAGTAATTCATCGTCTGATATGAAATTAGCTGCTCCCCATTATTATAGTTGATTGCTTGTGTCACGATTCAACTTCGTTGTTTAACAGGATGTCCACTGATTATAGCTGAGAAGTCACAAACAGTGATCGCTGCATTTCAAACTACCGAGATGGGTGTATTACTCAGGCTTTTTCAGGTCTGGGATCTTTGAATACTCCTCACAAAATAGGAGATGCTTTGACATCCTTTCAAAATTGCAAGAGCGTGTGGTGCCGTCGCAACTATTCAAAAAATTGATGGGCTGGGCCGATTTTCCCGGTGGCAATTCGTCGCTTTTATTACATAAGCTGCCACAACTCTGTAAAAATGGGTGAATGGAGAGAGTCGAATAGTAGACCCTCCTTTTGTGAAGAGTCTAGTGATGTCCGAATCATCGACTCAGCACGACCACCCACCATTTACGCCTTGAAAAGCATGTTCTCGACCCTTATTTTGGCATTCTAGACCCTTCTGCGCTCCTTAATCTATACAATCGGCTCTTAATCGCGGTATCCTTTTTTTTCGAGCCCATCGCCACGTTCACGTTCGTTGCCCCAGCGTCATATTATGACTTGGCCTTTGCTTTCTGATTTCCTATGATTAGGAACCTCACTGCGCCTTTAAGGGAGAAGATTAGTACATTGTACACTACCGCTCATACCCTCTTTACTGTGCAGTATTTCAATCCCGCTTTTGCCGAAAGGAACAACTGAACTTGTGCAGCTGGAAATTCGCGCACAGTTCAAAATGTTATGCAATTCTCGGAGAATCATTCGATTATTTGCTTGACCGGAAAGTGCCATCATAGAGCAACAGTCAGAAACAGCAGCCTAGACTTTTACAAGAAGCTAGCCTAGAGGTGGTTCTGCATGCATATAGGTGATAATAAAACTTGACCTTGAGGAATTTCGAAAAGCGCAGAATTTTTTACATGGTTTCCACTGGCGAGAGAACTCGGGTGCCATCCAGTAAGACGAGACTGGAGTTTGATGAGCTGCTGCATTTAGTCCATTTTTTTTGCAGGCGGAGGATTCGCAAACTAATCGGCTGGCATTCGGCTGGGAGTCAAAGTTGCCACATTAGCGCACGTGAACCACTGTGCTTCCAATTTCACATGTACATACGCCTGAGTTTACTTCCCCGCTAAAATGGGTAACTGTGGGCGATCTGCGCTGTTTCATCAAATGCCCCTTAGCGAATGAGAAACAACATTCCCAACGAGGGTGTGGCGCGCAGGAACAGACTGCTGCCTGAAATTTCCTAATGAGAGCCTCTCCTAAAATGAAGGTGGCCTCGGGGCTATTGCGGACTTCGTCCACGCCGCCGTGAGAATGCTATTCACAGTTACTGGGCTGACCTTGGGTTAAACTCAGCGGTTCATTCTTATTTTTAAGCCTATTTAATTCTTCAACTCCTGAGCTGACTGACTGTGCGGGAAAAATAATAGTTCTTGCTTTATGCCGAGAAATTTTTTGTTTGCTCCGGTAATTCTGAGCTGACGGACACAAAATCAGTAACGATAAGCTCCATTCAAGAAGTTCCCGCATGAACCTGCACTTTGCAAGTGGACATGTGTTTGAAAGATCTTCTATTATATCTCTCGCAGAACTTGCATCTATCTATATCTATTCCTCGGGGATATAAAGCTATCAGATAGTAGCTTATTTTGATCAATTCTCTCGATTTTTGACGCAGAACCATCACCCAGTCGAGCCGACATTTCAACGGTGAGCACTTGTTTTAGCAGATACTAATTCATTAGGTGTTTTATACGTGATTTCGGCTCGGCGATTATAGGACAAAAAGGGAGTCCTTGTTGAGGAATTCAAAGTAATCTAGTTCTTTGGATGTTGTTGTCAAAATTTTCAAGAATGAGAATCAGTCGTGGTGAACGCACAGATGTATGTAGGTTGTAGAAGGTGTTGCGTATTCAATCGTATGGCACCTGCACCGAACTGACTTCGACTTCTAGTAGTACAGCTGTAATGCATGGTCCCCCTAATAGTACAAGAGCGCTCTCAACAGCATGGCGCGCCTTAGAGGCAGCGATTACGATAAAGTGGGAGCGCATCGCGGAAGCATATGCACCACACGAATCAGTTACTTGGCTGCCAGGGAAGCGAGGTGTAGCGCTTTCACGACGCAAGGTTCGCTGGTTGCTGAGCAGGACTTCGAAAGCACTCCGCCCCCAAAAGCGATCCGCCACCACTTCGTTTAGCGGGTGAATTGGACGAGCTGCTGCTAGCAGGGAGCAGTGGGAGCATCTCGATTGGAGCATGGATTTGGCATGCTGTCACCAAACGCGTTGCGCTGAACTCGTTCATACGTCCGCTTTCTGAGCTGTTACCTGTTCATGAGTGAAAACTAACGGCCAAAAAAGGGGTCCCGTTTTGCGTTTTCTTGACGGATTTCTCCGCTTTTTTCGCTACTGGCACTGAGCACCACCAGTCTCCTGTAAACCCTTCCTGAATCTATCGTAATCACTGCCTTTAAACAGAGGAAAAACTGCAGGTACATATCCCGGGCGTCATAAAAACACCATGGAAAAAGGTAGTGAAAGTTAATGCAAAGAAAGAGCTGGGAATATCGGCGAAAAACTCGTCAAATCTGAAGAAAAATTGAGGAGGTTGCCCCCAATAGATGTGATGATTGTGTATTCATTATCTGGTTCTACACTTAGGCCCTGTTGAGGTTTCAGCAACTCCAAAAGGCTACCAAAAGAATACTGAATATGCTTGTGTTTTTTTATCATGCGGTCGATTGTTTTGTTGAATTGTAAGCTTTCTAGAACAGTAATTTGAAATTTACTTGGAATTTGCTCATACGCGAGAATTTCTAGTGAAATGATTTTTTCATTCTTAACTCTTCTCTCCATCCAAAACAAATATGCCGTTTAGTGAAGTAGGACTATCTCTAAAACATATTAAAATTTGAACTGATTTGATTCAGCAAAAAAAATCTAACGGCCGAAAATGCATGTGGCCAGAGATTTTTGAATGTTACTGTAAATGGAGTAGGGTGAAAAAATAAAAGAAACTGCCACAATGTATAGTTCTAGCGGACGGTTCGGCGGAATTCTACAACTCGGACCTTCCGACCGTTTTTGGTGATTCCGTCTGCGCACTCTCGCTTGAACACGTGCGCGTGAGGTCTGTGATCCGAACTTTTGCCGAACTGTGACTGACTCACCCACTCCAGAGTCCCTCCCCCTCCAAGGCTTAGTCCTAGGGCTCTCACCTTCCCCTTGGATTTGGAGCCGAGCCAGGCGCCGTTCTCTAATCGTCTGTGCTCTCCGCCATTCGTGGCAGGACCATAGAAGAGAGTTCAAGTAACCCGTAAACCCTAGCGGACGTGATAAAAGTGTTCTCCTGATGTCCCACTAGATTAAAAAGAAGGAAGAAAAGAAAAGTGAGTGTTTCTGTGAATTTTTTACTACTCTCTAAATCGATTTCGTCTTGTGGTTCACTGCCGATATCGGCTAACCGGCTCAACACGTTATACGTGTGAGTGCTGAAAGCTATGGTACGTATACCATGAAAAGCTGAGTTGGAATGAAATGGTGCCCCGGTAGCGTAACTGGTAGCGCACTTGCCCGGAAAGAAAGGCGGTTCAAGTCCCGTCTGGGGCGCAAGTTTTGTTCACAACCCAGCACTTTAGTGATAATCTCTAAATCATTGATTTCCTTCAATTTTTCGACATCTCCAATTTTTTAACTCACTCAATACTCGTCCAGTCTTTATGCCCAACTCTATAAGTACGGCGCTAATCAACGAGTGGAGCCAACTCAACAGCACAACTGGCTGATGAAATTCGTTGTCTAAGGCGACAAGTTATGGTGTGCCATGGGCTATCGATTGCTTCTGTGTGCGCGAACAGGCGCGCAAGAACAAACATTGCTAAGACGCTGTGATTCGTGCTGTGATTTAGCAAAAACTAAAACATTTATGATGTTCTTGTCGCATATGAACACTGGAAAGTATAGTCTGCACTCAGTACTTATGACGCACTGATTACAGACGGTCTCTGTCAGTTAGGAATCACTATCAATTGGAAAACAGCTGTTATCACCATCCATCATTACCGACGGAAGTCATTTCATTGTTGTAGTTTGTTAAATGCTGCCGACCATTCCCTCTTCTCCGACTCTCACTCACAGAAATGACATCAAGAAGCGAATAAAGAAAGCACAACGGGACGCCGTGCTCGACGTGAGTCTCGCCCTTGTTTTGATCACTGAAGATTCAACTGGGAATAATTTGGCTGACATTTCTCCACGACCACATGAAGAACTGACTCGATATTTCAGCCAATCGCGCGAATCACCGTCGAAATAATCACGCCCCGATTGCTCTACCATCTTGCGTTTTCGGCATCCTTGAGCACCCTGTGTTGATGGGTGGCACAGACGGGGAGAAAATAGGAAATTGGGCCGAATGCGCGTGTCGATTAGGCGATTTGGAAAATCGTCTAAACAGTCAGAGCACAAAACGAATCGATTTCTCGTAATTTTTCTCGCCTCGTACCCCACGAGCTCGATCGCCTGGATCGCCAACATTGAGCATTACAATAGCAGCTTTTAAGACACCGGCACTCCAGATGTTCTAGAATGAAGCGATCCTCTCGGAGGGCCAGTGGCAGTAATAAAGCACTGTGTACAGGTAGCTTCCAACTTCTTTGTGGTTCATATAAGTTCATCATAGAATGAAGAGAATTCATGGCAGTATCATCTGTCCTCCAGCTGTTTTGTATCTTTATAGATTCTGTGGATGTTAGAAGTCAAGATTGCGCTCTTTGACAGAGTCTGGTTCCTGAAGAGCAGGTTCCTGAAAAGCGCTCGCTGTCGCCGAGGCTGGCACTTCGCCAGGAAGCAGCATTCGTTGAAGGAAATCAAAATAAATCATCACTAAAGCACTGAAAAGCTCGATGTTGCACCTTGTTGTGCGCTGCTTCGTCGAGTCTGAAGACTGGGTATCGCCAGGGAGCAGGCCCGATAAAAAGATCATTGAATCCAACTCACAGCTTCAATTGCGATTCGTTTTCTCACTTTATCGCGCGAAGCTGTCGAAGAACTCATCGTCCAAGTCGCATGATTGTACTCAATCACGGACGACTCAGTGGAGTGAAGGAGTCACCGCCTATGAACGCGACTTCAATGATAGCCTTTCACCTTTTTTCTGGCACTTTATAACGACGAGGTTTCTAGCCTGACTAAGCTGCCCGAGCTTGGAGAGCATAGATTCTCTGATTGATATCTACAGGGTGGTCCAAAATTATGAGGACCAAGACATTGTGTCGTTAAAAACGCATAGTAGCTTGATGGAACAAACCAACTTCAGGGAAGTATTTGTAACTCTTACCTCAAAGTAATTCCAGAATAGAATTGAGATCTGCCACTTCCCCGTTAACACGAGCCTTCGGATGAAGGGGATGGCGCGTGCGGTGGCACGCAACTGAGGCGTGTCCAAATGTTTCCAGGCCTTCTGCTCTGCCTTCTTCAGGGAATCAAACTTTGTGTTGCATTTATTTGCGCTTGCATCCAGGGTGTGAAATACAGAAATCTAGAGCTATCAGATGGAAGGTTCCATTGTAACAATTCTTCGAAAGCAACGAACTCGAAAAATCGCTTTTTAGAGAATTTTTGCTTTATTCTTGGGTGCTCGGTCCTGTAAGAAGGTCCCAAGTAGACTACTCGTGTGGCTTTCTATCCCCTACAGATTTGGATTCTTTAGAGTGTCTGGCTGGGTTTTCACATCAATTTTTTCATATTGGGTGTACGAAAGTCGACAAGGGGAAACCTAGTTTCTGCATCTGATAATTATCCTAGTGGTAATTCCAAACTTATTGAAGAGTTGAACTGTTGCTCATAAGGGCTTCTCTGATAGGTTAGACTGCTGCTAGATGTAACGTGCCAGAGCCCCTAGTGAGTTCAATTTGAGGACTGACTCAAAGTGAAGTAGTTATTTCACTAGTTTTGAGAACTTCATGAAATTTGGTTTCATTAGGAAGAAGACATTGTACCCTTCACATAGTGCACAGAAAACGAGATGAAAATGGAGCGATACGGAAAAAAGTGGATATGACTGCGCGCGCACGCGGTCCTCATAATTTTGGACCACCCTGTATATGGACTCCAGCCACTCGGCGGCCGGCTTCGTCATTTCGCATTTTCCGTACTTATTCAAAACGGTTTTTCTTCAAACAACTAGTTTTTATTTGTCAGAGTAAGAGCTCAATTCCGATATTATTCCATGAGTGTTCTATCTGACACGAATGGTCAGATTAAAGCGGGCTATTCGCTGTTTGCAATTGTGCGTGCAGCTCACCCCAGTGGCCAGCAGGGCACCAACTCATTTCAGTGGGCTACGTGCCGATTGAACCTATCAGCACTTTGCCTCGCCAACGTGCCCCTATCTCATAATCTGTAATACTTACATACCTAACCGTAAACTAGAACGAGAGGAACATTTATTTTATACTCCACTGGTCTTTGCCTAGCTACTACGTAATTTATGGTCTACATATATTCAATCACAACTTCATCATGGTGAAGTAATGGGTCCTAACTTGAAAACTCAAATAGAAATTCTTTCAGTTGGTCAACTCAACAATCGACACTTTTCTTTCGAAGCCATGTAACGAACCTCAAGTGCTTTCCATACGTGTGCCTGAAATCAGCATCACCGTAGCCGAACTAACACCAGACGAGGCTTCAATGATGGTTCGCTTGAGTTTTACACATTACTACTTTCAGTCGTAAGTAAAGTATGGCCAAGGGTCATGTTAACTTCAGTCGTCATTTCCGTCTTCATAAATGATTAAATGATAGCATCATGCTCATTTTTTGGCACACACATCCGTAAAGCTCGTGCAACCCCTCTTCAAGGAGTAGCGTTAATTTGCGAAGCGGAAAACCTTCACTCCTCCTCGCATTATGGAGTTATGTTCAATACTGAACTTTGGCGTTTTAATAGAAGCTGTGAACAGAAAAACTTTCATGTACTGCTTCCGCATGTTACTTCAGTGATGAGCTACTGCTTTTATGGGTTACAAAATACACAAAAGTTCCATCGCCATTCGAAGAAGGAAGTGCTGCGTGCTCTGACGGAAAATAGGGATAAGAGTTAGATGGGATATTCGTAAAGGGCTAAATAGTATTCCCATCGCCGGAGATTTCACCCACGTTGACGGATTTGTTGTTTAACGGGCGAGGAATTTTACGGTTGTTTTAATCAGTTAGTGATGTTTGCAACGTTATCGGTGCTTTGTTACCGTAAGTAATCCTTTTCAAGCAATTGAAAGAATCGCAGTGTAGTTCCATCTGCTCCGAGCAACTGAAAAAGGCGTAGTGTTATTCCGCTACTGCGAGGGAGAACCGGAAAAAGAGACACAAAGAAAACGATTCGTTGCAAATTCAGGGTCGGCAATGAATGTACTAGTTAACAACTGTTGCATACATAAGTGATTTTGGAATTTTCTCTCATTTCAGTTTCTTTTTTCACAAGCTGATGTCTCCCTCCCTCCCCCACCCCCCCCCAACTTTTCTGCTCTCAACTGCTGATGATTTGTCTCGATCGTGGATCCGAGAACACATGACACATCCAACCTCACCTCCAGAAATCATCATAAGCCAAAGAGGGTTGCCCAGTTCGACCTGAATCTCGACGTACGATCCCCGCGTCCGGCCAACATTGGCCCTGCTTCTCTGCTTTCTTTTCATTGATAAGCCAGTGATAGCACTCAAAAATTGCTGCGTAAGGCACTGAACACGATAGCTAAGAGGAAGCCTGAAAGTGGACAGCTCATTGGTGGAAAGGCATCAAGAGGGTCTCTGACCCTTCCTACTGCATGCAAGCTTTCGATGCTCTTTCAACAACTATGTGTTTAGCTCTCCTACGCCTCTCAAGCATAGTTTCACTACCGTTAATATCCTCATCAGCCCTACTTAATTTTAACTATAAATGGTTCTCATTTAGGTGAACAACCCTCATTACAACAAGATGCTTGAAGCAGCAGAGAACAAAAAGCGAGTTCATGCAGCGTGCGCTGCAGCCAGGCAATTTCTCGTCGAGGTAATCTTGGATAGTATGAAAATTACTACAGAATGTTCAGAAAAATGGAAAACTATTCTTATAAGGAGCTGTCGAAGAGGGCTGGCATCAGTGAAAGCTCTTAGGTACTAAAATCTAGTGTGTTTTGAAGCCACCTTTGGGAGCCCCGGAACTATATCCTTACCTGAAAATGGTAACCACCTGTATAGAAGCTGTTGCTAACACATGGATGTTTATCAGTCCTTACCAGCTCTGCGGCTAGAGTCAGACATGTATACTCGATATCTCGAAGTCAGATTAGGCGTGTCTATGGGTTTGACGTGGCGGCCGCCGCATTTGATGGAAGTTGCGCGGATAAGCATGCTCTGCTGATATCCAATGGAGTACGTTAGAAACAGCCTATCCACACGG